ACTTTCCATAACAGTTCCTTTTGGCGATAAGGAGTCATAGTTTTCTGCTCATATATAGCTCTGTTTTTCGGAGTGCCATTACATGTGATGGGCTAGGTGGATGGTGTATGAATGGATTCATTGTCACTTGATGTTATATCTTGTGTATTTTTTCCCTCTCCAAGTCTTTCTCCTTCTGAATTTCTGATATATTCTAATTGGTGTCTGAACACCTATAATGCATGCACTATTTCACAATGGCACCAGCACCACACAACTCCATTTGTTTTGTTAAAATGTTGAAATGGAACTAAATGTGTTAATTTTTCTGTAGATTTATGGATTTTCATGGATTGTGCTCATTGGGATAGTAATGATTTTCAAGGTAACTTGTCAATTTTCATTCGTCTGTCAAATGGTCTCAAATTCTAAACTTGTGAATTTTGCTTCGTTTGTCAGATGTTTACATTTAGTCCCAAGAAGTCCACCAACTTCCAGCTCATGCTTCGGTTCATTCAAGGAGTTACTGCCTTGGGGCTTGTTGCTGCCATTTGTCTTGTTGTTGCATTGACTGGCCTTTCTATTGCTGATTTGTTTGCTAGTGTTCTTGCATTCGTTGCAACAGGATGGGCCCTTATTTGTGTACGTTTGACAATGCCATTTATGCTCCCTGCCCAGCCCAATAATAGAAATAATATATTCCACTTTTGGTCCTCGACTTTTGGGTCAGTCTCTTTTTAGTCATCAATTTTAACTTTTTCACTTTTGGTGCACTATGGTTCTATTGCCATTTTGGGTCCTTCTGATCACTTATGAAAAATTAACCAGAAGTATATGAATTGGCCAGATAAGCCACCAAAAGGACCAAAAGTGACAATAGACCCATATTTGTCACCAACAGTGGGAAAAATGAAAAATTGGGACTAAAATTAATAATGCTATAATACTCGAGGGGGCCAACACCCTTATTAATAATGCTTAGTAATATGAACATCTACAGCGACTAACACCCTTATTTGCATTTCATGATACAGTTGGCTATCACATGGAAGAGAGTGGTGAGGAGTTTGGGCATGTGGGATTCAGTGAAAGAGTTTGCGAGAATGTTTGATGCCGGAATGGGAATGATCATATTTGCACCTATAGCTATACTGTCATGGTTCCCGTTTGTGTCGACGTTCCAGTCTCGGATACTCTTTAACCAAGCATTCAGTCGTGGCTTGGAGATTTCACTCATTCTTGCTGGGAACAAAGCCAATGTTGAGCCTTCTGCATTTTAGTAAACTCCTCAAGCTCAATTTTGTATCTCACTTCTTTTGGATTCATTTTCTTCATGATTTTTTCAAAGATTGGTGTGTACATATCCATGTTGGTTGTTACATAGGAATGCTGTCAGCATCCTTTGTTCTTTACAATTGAACAAATATTTTGAACTTAGGTCAGAATGTTGGTTGTTTTTAATTTTGGTTCTGAGTCCTGACCATCAATTTGATATTTTTTATGTTCGATGTTTTAATTGTAATAATGACTCCCTCCGCCTTCTGTTATTGTCTCATTGCGGTTTACGATGCTTGACCGACGATAAAGCAAACAGATCTCTGTCCGCACTCAAATTATTTTTAGGAAAAAAAAATTACATATTCTGAAACTACATTAAAAGATTTACAAAGTCGCAAAAACCAGAATCAAATTTGATAAAAATTTGATAAATAAAGTAACAGATAAAGAGTGATTTGATAATAGGAAATGAGACAATAACAGGGGGGGCGGAGGGAGTAACATTTTATAAAATATTTGGGTATGTTTAGGGAAATCGGATTTTTCTTCAGATAATGAATTTTATAAACTATTCCATTTTTTCACGTTATTATTTAATTTTGAGCTATTCGTTAAGAAGTTAGTAATATGGATACTTCCATCGAGGAAAATAGACAAATACTGCAAGTTAACAAGTTATTGTTGTCGGTTTGAAGATGGAAGAGTTGGTAACAGTGATGCTGTTGGACAAGGGCCTTGGGGGCGTTGGCGCCTAGGGATGGATAGGGACCGAGCGGCCCCACCCCCATACTGGCTCGGGACTGATACTGTTTGGACGGCTCGGGTCTGATTTTTTGGGATGGGACTGGCAGATCTCGGGCCCGGTTCCGGTTCTGGTCCCAACTGATATATTTTTATTTTTATTTTTTAAATTAGATGTTGGGCCCGAACCGGAATTGACACGGGACTGGTAGGGATGGACTGGGACGGGTCGGCCTGATCCGAACCTGGTCCGGCCCGGTAATGTGAAGGCTTGACCAGGCCAGGTCAGCCACTACAGGGCCTGGGACTGGGGGGGGCCTGAACTGGGAGTGATTGGGGCAGGCTACGGGCTATGGAAATTGTGGACCGGCCCAGTCGGTCCAGGCTCGGTCCGGGCTTTACGACTACATTTTTTTATTGAAATGCATTTCTCAGTGCGCACGAGTGAGGACAAAGTGCGCGGAAAAGGCTAGTGGAAATGTGTCGAATATTGTACAATGTTGAACAATTGAATTGGTTTTTTTGAACATGTGTAAGTTTTTGCAGACATCACATGTACAATTATCCACTTATGTATGTTGATCTTTTGTTTGTCTAGGTATCCGCCGTACTGTCTGTTTGTGTAAAGTTATTGTCTCTCTGCGTAAAAATAATGTCTATCTGGTTATCTCTATTTCCCTAGCACTCTATGCTTCAATTTAGAACTGCAGCGTCTGTCTAGCCAAACAAAATTTGTCTGGGCAGTCTGGCCCTGACATTTGTAGTCAAAGGTATGTATTACTTTTGGGTCTAACAGCCAGACAAAAATTGTTTGGCCAGACATTAGTAGTCTGGGCCAAGTAACTACTTTGCAGAGTACAGCCAGACAAAATTTGTCTGTCCCAGACATTTTGTAGTCTGGGTGTTTGTATTACTTTCCATCTTACAGTCAGACAAAAGTTGTCTGGGCCAAACATTAGTAGTCTGGGCCAAGTAACTACTTTCTGGAGTTCATCTAGACAAAATTTGTCTTGCCCAGACATTTCTTGTCTGCCTCACATATGTTCTTTTTGACATCATTGTCACCTGATATGATATAAATACCAACTAACAATTAAAGATATGAGAGTAATAAACAAAAATGGGAACTTATCCTCCTAAGATATAATAAACCAAAATAAAGGGAAATGAAGTTCCATAATCGATATGTATGATCCATATATGAATAAACAAGATAAAAGATTCATTACATATAGCAATAAAGGGAAAAAAGCTGGCTTGACCAATATGCCCCTCATTCTCCTGAAGCTGCTTAGGACAAACTTTTCTGTAGTTGGACTCTTTTTCTAAAATTGCCGGTGCTTCACTTCATAAAGAGGACTTGACCTTTTTAAAACTTTCAGCCCATGCCAAAATTGAGTTCGCTCACAAGTTATGTCATTTGACTTTTAAGTGCCTAAATTAAGTCCTTCAACTTACAACTTTACTTCAATAGTGAAACAAAATGTCTAGAAATCCACAAATTCTTCAAATAAAGTATTCACCTGTGTAGTCATTTAAGCAAACAATAAGTGTGGTATTGTGGTAAAATATCATAAAAATGAGGAACCTATTCTAACTTATCATATTCAATCATTTCAACAAACACCTTATGAGCATAAAAGTGAAATATAATAGTTGAATTAAAATTTAAATAATTAAACTAACAAATCCGGAAAGGAAAGGGGCAAATAAGAGATGTAGCAAAGAGGGAAGAAGTTGTTAACAAGATAAAAAAGTATTACATATGAAAGCATATAAAAGTACAAACCCCTAGGTCTAAAAGGAACTTTACAAACTGGACAATAGGCTGAAGACTTCATTGATGCGTGTATAAATGAACTGCAATTTAAAAAGTATATTGGATGGAGTCCAAAACCCATAATCTGTATATAGAACTTTAGAGAGTGAAAAACATACTTCCAGAACATGTGATTGTACGTGAGCGAAGTAGCTGAACTTAACAGACTCAAGTTGTTTAAAACAGAACAGACCATTACGAGTTACAAATACTACAAACATATATAAGATAAGTAATCACGTTATCTATCTCAATTGAAGTATTACGTATATATCTCAATTATAAACAGAAAATTTATATAAATAAAATGAAAGAGTCAAACACATTTTTAAAATAGAAGAATGAACAAAAAAACTCATGAATATGAATAATATTGATTCAATCATTTCAACAAACACCTTATGTGCATAAAGTGAAATATAATAGTTGAATTAAAGTTTTAATAATAAACCACACAAATCTGGAAGGGGGCAGATATGAGATGTAGCAAAGAAGGAAAAAATTGTTATATAACAAGATAAATGGAGTATTACACATGAAATAAAAAAAAATGAAGAAAAGGGAAAGAAAGGAGAGAGGGTGGGGACACCGGAAGGGAAAGGTGGAGGTAGGAGAGGTCGCAGAGGGAAGAAGCATTCATATATCCCACTTGCTCTATTCCATTATTTGGGATTCATAGTTGTTTTTGTGTTATATATACATTTATAAGTAATTTTTAAATAAAATATATAAAATATATAGGTATTTTTTGGAAGTACGCGGGGGTCCCGGGACCCCGTGGGACCCTTAGTGGGTCCGCCCCTGGAGGGGAGAAACAAAAATGAGGGGAAAGGGGAAGGCCGGAAAAGAGGGAGATTTGGAAAGGGGGATGAGGGAGTGGGTGTAAATTTTTGGAAGTATTTATATGGGGTACAATTTGAGGTATAATTAAGGTACATGAACTGCAATTTAAAAATTACTCCCCCCGTCCCTTATAACTTTTTCAACCTTTTTTTTTATGTCCACTAACTTTGTCACTTTCCTTTTTAAGTAAAGAATTTGTGATTGCAGATAATTCTGTCTTCACTGCACAAACCTCAACCACACAGTTTTTACTTTATTAATTTGCATGCCGGTCAAACTTGGCAAAGTTATTAGAGATGAGAGAGTATATTGTATGGAGTCCAAAACCCATAATGTGGGAGTATTTATATGGATACAATTCGGGTATAATCGGGTACCTATAACAAAATTGATCATACTACGGAGTACTTCTCATTTTCCGTCTGACCACACACTCTGAGAGTAATTTTTGATCATCCGACTCACCGACTGGTCATGGCTAATTCTGCCGTCTTTCAGGTAATTGCCAGATTTTTTGTTCACCCGCTTAGTTCTAGTTGTTTTTCTTACTTGATCGGGTTTGTCCTTGCAGGTTCGAGTTGCTCTTTCTCTCAATGGAGATTCGTCCATACGTAGAACCGAGTTTAAGGTTCTTAAACCCACTATCGTTCGTGCTCATTAATTCCCCTGCAAGAAACCAGAATCTTTTATTAAAAGTGCAATTTTAATTTCCCGTAACTACCGGGATTTATCAATTTCGTTGCATTTCCAATTCCAAAATGTGGGTTTTCTTCATTTGACTCTGAATTATCTGTGGGGGACTTGAGTGGAATCACAGATATCTTAATAACGGGTGCTTTAATGAGCCAATAAATTTCAGGCATGCATTAGCTGTATAAAGTGGCTGTTTCCCGAACAGATAAAGTAGTGAATATCTAAAGCACATACAAAGCTGTTCAGCATTGTGATCTGTAATCTGTAATTCAAGAAGTCATAGAAAATAAAGCTCTGACCTTGAAAGTGAAAAAGAATAGTCTTGATTTCAACTGATTTATCATTTTATGATTCAATGAACAATATCCTTTACTCAGCTCTTCAACAACCAATATGCAAATTTTCTTTTTTGACGAGTTTCCACAGAAACAGTAGAGTTTAATGGTGTTTTTTTCTTCCCAGGTTAACACCATAGGTTTCAGTAATAAATCAATGTCCTGTTTCCAACATTTTGACTTGAAAACATCAAATGGAAAATCCAGGAGACACTTTGTTGTTTGCATGTCTGTGCAACAAGCTACCCAATACAAAGTACCTGTTGCACCTTTGTCCCTAGAAGATGCCAAAGAACCTCCATTGAATCTGTACAAACCGAAGGAGCCATACACAGCAACAATTGTTTCTGTTGAGAGGCTTGTAGGGCCAAAAGCTCCCGGGGAGACTTGCCATGTTGTTATTGATCATGGTGGCGATCTTCCTTACTGGGAAGGACAAAGCTATGGTGTTATTCCTCGTGTAAGACATGCTTCTAATATCGTGTGGTTTCTTTTACACTTTAACCAACAAAGTTTCCAATGTATTGATTCTTAGGCTAAAGTTTATCGATGACCGCATGATTTGTATAATGTGTGTGTGTCAACGCATAGCCTTTTCTCCTCCTCTATTATAGACTATAGGAGTAACTATTAGCTAGGTCAAGCTGATAGCTAATAGTTTAAGGTTCTTTCATCCATCCACGTATTTGCACTTTTTACATGTGCTTAACCCAAACACATGTAAAATGAGGTAATAACTATTGGCTATCAGCTAGAAACTGAAAGACGGACACCTTAAATTAAGATCCCTAACCAATGATAACCAATGATGAGGAAAATCTTTTGCTTGATGATTTGCCATTTGATAATAAATGGCTTGTGTTCATACATGTTTGCGTTTGATACTTTTGGTCTTGTAATTATCCATTTCTTCAGTTGTTTATTACTAGTTTAACTATTATATGTTTTGTCAGTTGGTATATTTTGAGGCTTACGCCTCAATACGCCTTGAGGCTTACACCTTGCCTCTCTGGAACAAACCGCCTCGATACCCAAACCAGCGTTTTTAAACATTATTAAGACTGTCCCAGTTTTCTTGCTAACAATTTAACATTATTAGTAATTTTACATTATGTGGACCTACAATCGATTACCTAAGGTAATCTTACATGTTGAGAATCAAATGTCCCTAAGATTTGAATGCATAGTTTGTTTATTCACAAGCTTTTTATGGAACGCAAATGTGCAACACGAAATGCTTAACTAAGCTGTTTATGTCTTTGGACCCCAATGCTGATCGAGCAGCTTGACCTGTTTTTCATTTGTCCCTTTCAGTAACATATAATGTTCTATGGGTAATATACTAATAACTCCATGACTTCCAATGGAGCCAAAGACTCAGTATTTTTTGGCTTGGGAAATGATGGAATAAAGCAAAATGGCTTATTAAACTGAACGCGCTTCTTTGTTATGAAGCAGTGTTAGTTCATGCAATTTTCGACGTGATTTTCATCATGGGTCATCCGGAAATAGTCTCTTTGTACTATAGTACATGGGTAAGATTGCGTAAGATTGCGTACATCTGACCCCCTTACCCCCCACCGTAGGTGGGAGCCTTTGCGGCACTGGGGTAATCTTGTTGTTGTTGTTGTTGTTGTTGTCAGGTAATATACTAATAGCACATAAACACAATCACATAATTTCTACTTCATTTGTGATTATACTCCAGGGCGAGAACCCAAAGAAACCAGGTGCTTCTCACAATGTTCGTCTATATTCAATTGCATCTACCAGATATGGAGACTCCTTTGATGGGAAAACAGCTACTTTGTGTGTCAGACGTGCTCTCTATTATGATCCCGAGACAGGAAAAGAAGATCCTTTGAAAAAGGGAGTTTGCAGCAATTATCTGTGTGATTCAAAGCCTGGAGACAAAGTGCAAATCACCGGTAAGAGATTGATTACCAGTTGATAAATCTGTTGTCAAATTATATATTTTCATTTGTTGTAGTAGTGAAATGTCATGGAATCAATACTTAGTCCTGCATTCATTCTCATCAGAAAAAAAAAATCTTTTAGCAGCCAGTTGCTCTATTCCCAACACTTGTGGCCTTTTTTCAGTAAGGAGGATGAAGACACTCATATCTATCTATTATCAAAATATGAGCATCTATAATCACATTACAAATGCACTGAAGCCATGTGTATTGAAATTTCTAACAGGTCCTTCTGGCAAAATAATGCTACTTCCTGAAGACAACCCAAGTGCTACACACATCATGATTGCAACTGGTACTGGTGTGGCTCCCTTTAGAGGGTACCTCCGCCGTATGTTTATGGAATCCATCCCGACTTTCAAGTTCAATGGCCTTGCTTGGCTCTTCCTTGGGGTGGCCAACAATGATAGTCTTTTGTATGATAAAGAGTTCACGAAATATCTCCAGGATTATCCAGACAATTTCAGGTACGACCGTGCTCTTAGTCGAGAGCAGAATAACAAGAGAGGGGGGAAGATGTACGTTCAGGACAAAATTGAAGAGTACAGTGATGAGATCTTCGAACTGCTGGATGAAGGGGCACACATATATTTCTGTGGGCTGAAGGGAATGATGCCTGGAATTCAGGACACATTGAAGCGTGTGGCAGAGGATAGAGGGGAGACCTGGGAATCGAAGCTTTCACAGCTCAAAAGGAACAAGCAGTGGCATGTTGAGGTCTACTGATGATTATTTGAACTATATAACACATTCATTCCAGAGAATCGAGTCCAGAGGGAATCACCTGTTCTCAATAGGATTACTGCTTATGGTGTCAAAAGTGAGTTTCTTTGTTATTTGACTTGATTCAGCACACTGCATGCACCCTTTGGTGTTCAATGCTCCTGTAGATGAAAATTTCTTAGGTATGTGGTGTTTGCCGAGATGTGCTAATAATAGTGGGTTGCATCATTTCAATCACGCCCTTTGAAGTTCTCTAAAATGAATAGTTTTCGTATTCTTTCATATTGACACAAACATATGTTTATATACACAATACTTAGAGTTAGTTTCCTTCTAAATCAAGTCTACTTGGCCTTTTAAACATACATAGACACGAGCAAATCTTAAAGATTACAAAAAAGTTGGAAATAGTAATGAAGCAGGGACTGAAATCTCTCAGGTTATGTTCTCCAAGCTGAGATCTGCACTTAGCTCACTTGGGTTAGATCGAAGTAAGGCTTTGGTCTGCAATTTGTTGTTTTGGTGGAAACAATCGAGTATGATTGTCTCATTGTCAATCTTCTCACTGATGAAGCAGTGTCCATCAATATTTTCGCTTTTAGTGTGTTTATGGAGAATAGTAGGGGGCTCTTAATAATTGCATTTGCAGCTTAGTTGTCTCCCAAGAGTTTTGATAGAATTTATTACTCTCCGGATCTTGAATGCAATTAGCACCCTTTTGAGCCAAGTTCCTTCACAGATGTCTCAAGCTAATTAGCCAAGGCTCGAGATTCACTAGTCCACTGCAAAAACATAGTCATTCAAAGGCATTAACACCTAACTTTGTTTTTTTCCTTTTTACGAATAAAAAATTTATTGGATGGCAATACATGGTAGTCTGGTAGAGCAGAGTGACATTTGAACACCACATAACAGACAATACCCCATGTATGATAGAATCAAGTTTGAGCATGACCAGTGCATCGAATGGTATAATCAGAGCATAAATTGGATTACCCGCACGGGTAGCTCAGTTGGTCGAGCGGTGGAAAAAATTGGACGTAGACCAAGGTTCGAATCCCGCAGCGGCCAAAAGGGGGTTTTCAGAACCTGAAATAAGGTTTGCCCTCTGGTGCGCACGGGTAAAGGCCTACTGCCGCTTTGCTGACTGAGTCACCGTGATTTACTCCCCCACCATCCTGTCGGGTTGGGGTGGGGGGCCCTTGGGGTTGGGGATTCAACCTTTTGGACGTAGAGCATAAATTGGACTCGGAAAGCGGTGGTTTTTTTGAATAATTTTTTGCACGAAGTTTATACTCCGTATAAAAATATTTGAATGTTTTTTTAAACACGGGGTAGACTGGAGTCTGGAGCCGTGGAGTTCCACCCTACCTCTCTGCCACCAGCTGCATCCACGAGGGTGAGTTTTTGCCACCAGCCCACCACCACAATATCCAAAGACAGAGTGGCTGCCAGAGTGCACCGACATCGGTGGTTGCTTGCAGCCCGATCGAGTAGACAGAAGATCCAGCAGCCATTCCTTTATTTAATTAAGTTTCATGAACTTCTTCAAAGGATATTAACCCTTCCAAGACAATGAACGGGAAAAACCCACATTCACTTCTTATAACCCACATCAAGTGATATATCAATAACATCTTCATGTTCAAGACGTCTGGGAAAGACCGAAAGAGGGATATCACAACTTCTCCTCGTTGGTATTGAAGCCTTGAAGGAGTTCGTTTACCAATCCAGAGATGGGTCCAGTACCTTTTGTTTTATTTATTTATTGGACTAGTCTTCTATATCAAGTATAGCTATAGTAGTATATTATTGTAAGTAGGACTCTCAACACGGCCCAACTGAACTTTTTTAGGAGCATTAGGAGAACCCTCAAAACTTCTAAGTTTCTAATAAAGTTAATAAAAACAAATACATATACCGCCCTCTATATCCAAAGTGTTATAAAATATGTTGAAATCTATATGCCAAACTAGCTATTAGGAGAAATAAATGAAGACAATTGTGTTTTAAAAGTTATGAAAACATTGCAAAATTGCTTCATTTTCAATAGTTGCAAAAACTCCTCAATTTATATGGTCAAACTATCATTTGACCCCTCGTCTTCCGTCCTACTGCGCAAATGTGTACTTCCCATGTGCATGAAATGGTATTGTTTATATATACTTGTTATTCCCTTTGTCTCTGATTAAACTTCCAAATTTTCTTTTTTAGCATTCCAAAATAAACTTTTACTTTCCTTTTTGTTAAAGAACTTGTGGTTCACAGCAATTATTAAACATTCTTACAAATTTCTCTGCACAATTTTCCACTACGCAATAAAAGGAGTATATTTTATTTTAAGATGTGCTAAGCTAGTATATATTCAATGGTGGTAGGTTGCAGCAATTACTATAATCTACTTCATATACACATTCATATTTATGTTGTATACATATGAATTGATGGGGTAGGCTGCAACGGTTGCTATAAGTTGAAGTAGGCATGATGATTTTGGCTGTGATACAGTGAAGATCTTTTCTTATACTCCTAATTAAAAAAAAACAAGTTCAACTAAAAAGGCCTACTTTAAAATTTTTGTGGGGTTTTTTCTTCTTTTCTTTTTTCAATTGCTCCACTTTTTGTCTTGTTGGGGACTATCCACATGCGGTTCTACAGAAGCATGAAAAGGATTCAAGCGCACGCCCTTCTGAAAAGCAAGAGACAGAGATGCAGAACGAAAGGCCAATACAACAAAAAATGCTACCATAAGGGAGAATCACAATATTGTCGCAAATTCAACTTTTTTTTTTTTTTTTTTTTTTTGATAATCCAGGTGTCGGGGCTTACGCTCCCATAATCCTGGAGTCTATGAACTACCCTCCAAAGCCTCTAGACAGTTAAATCCGGATCTGATCACAGTCAGCCTCGTCAGTACTGGCTCCAAAGGACGAATCCAGCAGGACTTACATCACCTTTCAGGCTGCTCCTCCCACCACACGAACCCGCTACCTTCATTACTATCCTCTCCCTTCTCAGCCGCTGAGCAACTCCGTGAAGGTAGAAAGAATCATTGGGAGCAAGACCTCCCTCATCTCCCCTTGGTGGGAATTGAACCCAAGACCTCCCACAAAGGAGAGACGACTTGGGGGTGGATGGTCATCCATTGGACTACACCCACCTTCCCAGAAATTAGTTGTCGCAAATTCAACTTTAAATCGTCTCACTCACATTTATCTCGCCGTCCCTCTTTTTTGGAGTAATAATTTACGTTTTCTATTCAGGAAAATTTCAGAAATAGGACTAAACAATTTTTAAATTTCAAAATGTGATTATTATATTTTCTTCCCGAAATAGGAGTAGTATGACAACATTTACTATCGTATTAGAGTCATTACTGCCAAAAAATTGTAGTACTGAGCATTAACAGGTCAGTATTTACTATTACGTATTTTTCAATTATGATAGTAATGACACATGTTTCAGCCAGAAAAAATATAAAAAACATATTTGAAATTTCATATCTTATGTACTCCTATTTAGGGCAACTTCCCTTCCTTTTCCCAACCATTCCTAAATTATTGACAATTTTGCTTTCAGGGCATGTTTGAGATTTTGAGCTAAAATGGGGAAAGAGTTTGAAGGTTAGTCGTATGACCGGAAAGAAAAGGAGAAGAAGAGGCCGTTTGGCAACACTGTTTTTCAGCTTATCAGGCTTATCAGCCAACATTTTCACCAAACACGTAACTTTTGCTTTCGCGCGCTGAATTGTGTAATAAGCAGAAAAAGTAAGGTTGGAGTTACTTTTCTGGCTGTATTGGCTGAAATTACTGTAGATGACTATTTTAACTATTTTTACATATAATTTTTTCTTTATTTTATTAATAAAATATATTTTAAAATTATTGTTTTCTTAAAACAGCAGAATCAGCCAATGCAGCCACTTCAGCCAGAACTTCATAAATTTCAGCAGAATCAGCCAAAACAACCGATTTTCGTGCTACCAAACGGGCTCGAAATCATTCTTCATGTTTTGAAGTCAGAAATTTAGAAAGAGAGAGCTTGTGAGGATTTATAATTAAAATTTATTTACGGTATGATATAATTAAATAGTTGAAATTGTATTCATTTTAAATTGAGCTAAAATGTTATTTAAATAGTTGTCCTTAAAAGATTAATTCATTAGAGTTTTGAAATTAAGAGCCCGTTTTGTGGCTCTGTTTTCAGTTTATTGGGCTTATCAATCAACTTTTTAACCAAACACGTAACTTTTGATTTCGCGCTGAGATGGTTGTAATAAGAAAAAGTAAGGTTGATCGAAGTTACTTTTTTTGCTATATTGGCTGAAGTTACTGTGGATAACTATTTTAGCTATTTTTCGTATATATTTTTCTTTATTTAATTAATAAAATATATTTTAAATATAATTTTTCATAAATCAGCAGAATCAGTCAATACACTCAATTCAGCCAGAACTTCATAAATTTCAGCAGAATCAATTGATTCGATCGATTTCATGTTATCAAACGTGCTCTACACATTTGAATGATTTTGAAAGATCACAAAAGATTCCAAACCATTTCTCCCATTTTTTAAACTCTCGCACAAAAAATGGAGGGTCATAAATCCTCCTCATCCTTCCTCTCCCCAGCGCAATCTAACTCCCAAAGATACCATTAAAAGAAACATTATGTATAAATAGTTCGAGATACAATCATATTTTATCACAAATACACTAGTGCATCTCGAATTATAAATATAGTCAATAGGTTATTAATTCAAAATGAGAAACATGTCAAACACTACTTTTGTTTTTCATTTTTTAAGAATTTTATTATGTAAATGTTGGGGTTTTTTATGATTTTTTACGGGTATCCAAAATTTTAATATAATTACCAAAAAAAGTTGGAAACTTTTAAAATTGTAGATACGGCCCGCAAACGTACGGTACGAGTATCTTAGAGTATCTGATACGGGAACATTTCTGATACGCCAATATTATCCCTTGTGAAGTATATCAGTATATGTGCTTCATACGGTACCCTAAATGGG